GTTTTCATTTCCTCAATTTTACCACAATATTGTAACTGGAGTTTGTCCTCACAGAACATCCTACTGCTATCAGTGGCCCACTGGAAGACTTGGTTTATATCGTCTAGGAGGCTAGCCTTGCCTTCTGTGGATGCCAGTCTCATGCAAAATACCTCCAGTAACAAGCAGGGGCGCGACGAATGCAGAGATAACTCTTTGGGTGTCAGAAGTTCCCGACTCCTCAACTTCCTTTCTCCATGCATAAAATAAATTACCAATAAACTTCTGTCGTCAAGTGAGAACTAGAGAAGTTCCTCAAATCAGTTTCTGACTCGTCAGCTGCTGTTTGTATGTAGGACTGTATGCAGCCAGTAGTAACAACCTGGTTGATTAGGCCTTGATCCACCAGCAAGCCTTTACCTTTAATATATCTTTGAGGAGTTTCGAGAGTTTTTCTACTCCAGGAGCTTGGCCCTTGGCCAGGCTTGTCTGGTGCTTGCCTGGTCAACCATGCTCTTGCTGCTGGCGGCCCGTTGGCTTGCATATCCGTCACAGCCTGGTTGATCTAGGACCTGGTGAAGATACTTATCCGGTTTACTTTTGAAGACTTCTATACTTGTCCTAGAATTGTTTCTGATATCTTCGGGTAAAATGCTAAATAATCTGGGGCCACGCATGTTGATACAATGTTTTCTTATTGTACCCACCGCGCCCCTGCTTTTCATTGGGTTTGTTTAACACTTTCTACCATATTTCTCATGCCAGTATTTTATGGCAGTGTACAGATTTGTGACCTGACCCTCAAGTACTTTCCAAGTATGTAAAGTAAAAGGACACAAGTGTAACTAATGTGACATTTTATTGTGGCAACGTTTCGCTCTCCAGGAGCTTTAAGCCGTTACAAACAGTACATGGACACAGAGGGTATATATAGGCTCTGAGTGAGGTGCAATACTAGTGGTAGTGGTGGTCGTAGTAGTAGCAGCAGTAGTAGCAGCAGTAGTAGCAGCAGTAGTAGTAGCAGTACTAGCAGTAGCAGTACTAGCAGCAGTAGTAGTAGCAGTACTAGCAGCAGCAGTAGTAGCAGTACTAGCAGCAGCAGTAGTAGCAGTACTAGCAGCAGCAGTAGTAGCAGTACTAGCAGCAGCAGTACTAGCAGCAGTAGTAGTAGCAGTACTAGCAGCAGTAGTAGCAGTACTAGCAGCAGTAGTAGTAGCAGTACTAGCAGCAGTAGTAGTAGTAGCAGTACTAGCAGCAGTAGTAGCAGCAGTACTAGCAGCAGTAGTAGTAGCAGTACTAGCAGCAGTAGTAGTAGCAGTACTAGCAGTAGTAGCAGTACTAGCAGTAGCAGTACTAGCAGCAGTACTAGCAGCAGCAGTAGTAGCAGTACTAGCAGCAGCAGTAGCAGTACTAGCAGCAGTACTAGCAGTACTAGCAGTACTAGCAGCAGTACTAGCAGTACTAGCAGTACTAGCAGCAGTAGTAGTAGCAGTACTAGCAGCAGCAGTAGTAGCAGTACTAGCAGCAGTAGTAGTAGCAGTACTAGCAGCAGCAATAGTAGCAGTACTAGCAGCAGCAATAGTAGCAGTACTAGCAGCAGCAATAGTAGCAGTACTAGCAGCAGCAGTAGTAGTAGCAGTACTAGCAGCAGCAATAGTAGCAGTACTAGCAGCAGCAGTAGTAGTAGCAGTACTAGCAGCAGTACTAGCAGCAGTAGTAGCAGCAGTAGTAGTAGCAGTACTAGCAGCAGCAATAGTAGCAGTACTAGCAGCAGCAATAGTAGCAGTACTAGCAGCAGCAATAGTAGCAGTACTAGCAGCAGCAATAGTAGCAGTACTAGCAGCAGCAATAGTAGCAGTACTAGCAGCAGCAATAGTAGCAGTACTAGCAGCAGCAATAGTAGCAGTACTAGCAGCAGCAATAGTAGCAGTACTAGCAGCAGCAATAGTAGCAGTACTAGCAGCAGCAGCAGCAGCAGCACTAGCAGCAGCAGCAGCACTAGCAGCAGCAGCAGCAGCAGCAGCAGCAGCAGCAGAAGCAGCAGCAGCAGCAGCAGCAGCAGCAGCAGCAGCAGCAGCAGCACAATATGGTAGAACAAATAACTCGCACATGAGTAAAAGGACATAAAAGTTATTACTTGGGTAACATAATGTATACTTTCCAAGTATACATTATCATGTATCACACAATGCTCCAGCAACTGTCATAACTCAACCATTCCTTCATTTGTTGTTGTTCTACATTCCATTTTACCTTTAACCTCTTTCTTATGCTCCATTTACTTTAACCTTCATTATTTTCACATTTGTAAAAATCTTCCAAACTACTCCCTTACTAGCACTATATACATTCTATCATTGTTGTCGTGTGATGGAGCCACCTCCCAGCAACCACGACCACACACTAACACCGTGTGATGGAGCCACCTCCCAGCAACCACGACCACACACTAACACCGTGTGATGGAGCCACCTCCCAGCAACCACGACCACACACTAACACTACTACAGTAAGTCCACACTGCACCTAGTTCACAACCTTTTTCTCACTCTACCCAATTTTCTTTCCAACAACTTTTCACACTTCTCATACATCTCCCAACCTGTTAATTCAAGCACATTGGATTATGTATCAACACAAATTAGCTGATAAAATTCTCGACCCATATACGAAGACAATGTGTTGTGTCAACACTCGGCAAGTGTGACAGTTCATGACTACTGTATTACGTTACCATCAAGGCATAAGGGCCTTCCCTCCCGGGTGTGTTATCCTCGCTCTAAATCCCTGAGAGTTGGCCCTCAAAATGTTGCTACAAGGTATAACATATAACAGACTGGCCTCAGTCACAGCTTTGAGAACAGAGGCACTTTCGAAACCTGTAAAAGGTGTTCCAGTTATAGACCACAGTTCTGGGAAATATTAGGGATGTTTCCATAAGACACCTGCCGTTCATGTTCACCCATCAGTATAAAATAGGTACCTGGGTGTTAGTCGACTGGTGTGGGTCGCATCCTGGGACAAAATTGACATAATTGTAATAAAGGTATTATTACTATTATTATTATTTCACTAATATGAGGGTAGTAACTAGTTACTCCACAGCCACATAAGAAAAAAAAGAAGACTGTGAAGAAGCACTGATAAGGCTGATGGAGAGAGGGAGGGAAGCCGACGAAGAATGAGAGAGAAAATTATTCAAAGTGCTTAGCAAAAATTTCAGAGAGATTGTCACAGCACAGATTTGCTGTTTACCTTGGTCCAGCATGCTGTTGTTTACCTTGGTCCAGCATGTTGTTGTTTACCCTGGCCCAGCATGTTGTTGTTTACCCAGGCCCAGCATGTTGTTGTTTACCCAGGCCCAGCATGTTTACCCTGGCCCAGCATGCTGCTGTTTACCCTGGCCCAGCATGTTGTTTACCCTGGCCCAGCATATTGTTTACCCTGGCCCAGCATGCTGCTGTTTACCCTGGCCCAGCATGTTGTTGTTTACCCTGGTCCAGCATGTTTACCCTGGCCCAGCATGTTGTTTACCCTGGCCCAGCATGTTGTTGTTTACCCTGGCCCAGCATGATGTTGTTTACCCTGGCCCAGCATGTTGTTGTTTACCCTGGCCCAGCATGTTGTTGTTTACCCTGGCCCAGCATGTTGTTTACCCTGGCCCAGCATATTTACCCTGGCCCAGCATGCTGTTGTTTACCCTGGCCCAGCATGTTGTTGTTTACCCTGGCCCAGCATGTTGTTGTTTACCCTGGTCCAGCATGTTTACCCTGACCCAGCATGTTGTTTACCCTGGCCCAGCATGCTGTTTACCCTGGCCCAGCATGCTTTTACCCTGGCCCAGCATGATGTTGTTTACCCTGGCCCAGCATGCTGTTGTTTACCCTGGCCCAGCATGCTGTTGTTTACCCTGGCCCAGCATGCTGTTGTTTACCCTGGCCCAGCATGTTGTTTACCCTGGCCCAGCATGCTGTTGTTTATCCTGGCCCAGCATGCTGTTGTTTACCCTGGCCCAGCATGCTGTTGTTTACCCTGGCCCAGCATGTTGTTTACCCTGGCCCAGCATGCTGTTGTTTACCCTGGCCCAGCATGCTGTTGTTTACCCTGGCCCAGCATGTTTACCCTGGCCCAGCATGCTGTTGTTTACCCTGGTCCAGCATGTTTACCCTGGCCCAGCATGTTGTTTACCCTGGCCCAGCATGTTTACCCTGGCCCAGCATGTTGTTTACCCTGGCCCAGCATGTTGTTGTTTACCCTGGCCCAGCATGTTGTTGTTTACCCTGGCCCAGAATGTTTACCCTGGTCCAGCATGTTGTTTACCCTGGCCCAGCATGTTGTTTACCCTGGTCCAGCATGTTGTTTACCCTGGCCCAGCATGTTGTTTACCCTGGCCCAGCATGTTTACCCTGGCCCAGCATGTTGTTTACCCTGGCCCAGCATGCTGTTGTTTACCCTGGCCCAGCATGCTGTTGTTTACCCTGGCCCAGCATGCTGTTGTTTACCCTGGCCCAGCATATTGTTGTTTACCCTGGCCCAGCATATTGTTGTTTGCCCTGGCCCAGCATATTGTTGTTTACCCTGGCCCAGCATGCTGTTGTTTACCCTGGCCCAGCATGTTGTTTACCCTGGCCCAGCATGCTGTTGTTTACCCTGGCCCAGCATGCTGTTGTTTACCCTGGCCCAGCATGCTGTTGTTTACCCTGGCCCAGCATGCTGCTGTTTATCCTGGCCCAGCATGCTGCTGTTTTCCCTGTGGACCAACAGATCCAAGACTGGTGAGCCATCTCCACACATGCTTAATTCAGTTGGTGTACGGTCTTGTTCCTCACTGGAGGGTTGGCGGCGTCTATAACTTTTGCCTTTTTTTAAGAGTTACATTTATCAGTGATTCCAATAGAAATTTGCATAGTCGTTACAAGGAGAATTATTATAATCATAACTAAGCGCTAAACCCACACGGGGCATACAGCACTGCAAGAAGAAGGTTCGTGACAGTCACACAGTGTGATGGAGGTACTCACGCCCACTAGCAGAAGAGATGGAGGTTTGTGACAATCACAGCCGCCAGCACGCTCCGCCTGGTCCACCAGGTTACCGATGAAGCTACGTAGCGCCTGCAGGTGCCTGTGGCAGGAACAACAACCAAACATTAGTGTCACACTCCCTATAATCTCACCAATAACACAAAGCTACACCTCCTTGCAAACACAGTCAATAGTAATTACAATAATATTGATAATTACAGCTATAATAAGAGTAATAATACCACCGATAATATATATTTCTTACTGATACATTACCTGATATTTGATACTGTATGGAAGTACTACACTCTCTGGCGGAGGCTCGATCCTCCGTCCTGTAACTGCCAAACATGCTATCACCTAACTATACTCACCTTACTCAACATTACTCACAACTTGAGAAAATTGTTAAGGTTCCAATCCAGGAACATCTGCCTCTCTCATCAGACACAGAAGACCATGGTGGCTCCGGTGAGTCTAGAACCAATATTGGTGCAGCGTCTCAGATCCTGTCACAGGTACTGTTGATGCTAGTGAAGGCGACCCTGGTGGTACTAGGGTGGATGTAGACATTTGTACTAGTGAAGCTGGTGATAGTACTAGCGCTGATGCTGTTAGTGTTGGTTGTCTCTGGTACACATTTAGAAATTATTCTGGTTGGAAACACGGACAACCAAAGCCACGACCAACGGAAGCCTGATATGTGTATATTTTGTTCTTGGGGCGTCTACAAATACGGCACTACTGGGACTAAGAGAAAGGGAACTAGAATGCACAATAATCCCAAGAAATTTGGAAATCTGAAAGGAACATGTTTCAGGTCCTGCAAGCTCACCCAGCCCAAAGTGTGCCACAGTTCAGTAAATAAAGAACAAGTGCGACCATGGTATGATTGCAAACAAAATGCGTGTAAAAGGTATAACTGGTAAAGTGGGCATGTGGATATTTAACTTCTTAAATATAATCCAGAGCAGTAGTATTAAATAGAGTGCAGTCAGAGGCTGCCACTTTGAAAAGCTCTGTTGCTCAAGACAGTACTCGCCCCCTACTTCTGTTTCTCATTCTTATAACCGATATAGACAATGACATGAATCATAAATGACACCAGAAGCTCTATGAAAGTGGCGTCCATCAAAGGCATTATAAATCTTTAAAGCGGAAAAAAAGTATGTCAGTGGACCTCACTATAAGATAGTACAGAAAAAAATCGAATCATTCAACAGAGCAAAAGTTCCACGAGAGAGATTTAGAAGTACTGATGCCAGAAGATCTCACAATCAAGGATTACAACAATATTGCTATTACTACCACAATGAAAAAATGATAGGCTGGATAATTAACTTTCAAGACAAGAGATACTGAGCCAATGATGATACTCTACAAGTCGCTTGTTCTCTCCAGGTTGGAACACTGATGTATACTAACAGCTCCATTAAATGGAGGCGAAACTACCGAGTTAGAAAATGTACAGAACTTTTACTGCCTCTATACACACAAACATTCGAACTACTGGAAACGCCTGAAATCCCCTCAACAGCATTTCTTGGAACACAGACGAGAAAGCTACATCATAATTTACACCTGGAAAATCTGGAGGGAATGGTCCCAAACCTGCACATCTGAATCAATCTTTGTGAAAGCACGAGACTTGGTAAACAGCAGAGGCACGACGAGTATACTAAGAGAGAACTCGTTGAGCTTCAGAAGTCCCCGAAACTTCAACGTCCTCCCTCGAAGTACCAATAAACCTCTGCTTGTCTTCAAGATGGAACTGGATAAGTCCTCAAATCAGTGCCTGACCAACCGGGTTGTAATTCGTACGTTAGATTGAGGGCGGCCAGCATTAACAGCTTGGTTGATCAGTTTTTGATCTACCATGACCGGGGAATTGACCCCAGGTAACATCCTTCAGGTATCACCAGTGACATAAACCCGGATATACACGGGCTTCAGACTTTCTTGTACATAAGTATAAGTGAAGTACTTATCATATACCCTCCTGCAACACACTTATCTTGATAATCATGTTGAAAAACTTTAAAAGTTCCCAAGTATTAAAAAACTATATCTATGTATATTTATATAATAACCTTTTGTTGTGGCGCCTTCACTGGAACAGAGCTTTCCCAGCACCAACAACATAATTGATCAGACCATCAACCAGGATGCCTGGTCAATGACCAGTGGCAATTAATTCATTTAATCAACAACAAACAACAAAGGTCTAACAAAGATTCACTATGACTTCTAGTAACATGTGGTGCTGGGATGGGGAGAGGAGGCTGGCTTACAATTAATTAGCCGCCCAGGCAAAAAACTTGGACAAACTTGTAAGACTGGTGCAATATGCGGTTGTTGCAGTATTGCAACACTTTAAGGCACTTGCGGAGGATATTGAAGCCGATTATCAAGATGCCACACTGCACACTGAGGTCTGATAATAAAAGTGTTTTGCGAGGTTCCACATGATGCAACGTATAAGACAGTTGATAAAGTCAAGAAATGCACATACACACCATTAATGAAAAGCTTAGCTGTTACTGGCTTGATCATTTATAAAAGTTTTAAAATCATAGTAAGATCATGACTTAAGTTACAATTTTCAGGACTGGCTGAGAAATGCAGTGTCACATCTCACATTAAACTCGGTGATAAACGTTACTAATATCTTCCATGTTTAAATATTTCATTCGTGATTATAACATTTTTATCATCTTTGTTAATTTCCAAATTTAACTGAAAGAATTTTTTTTCCTTAAGTAATAGTAACTGGAGCCATAGTGGAGCCCTTAAAGGAGGTGTAGGTAATGAACCAATGCTGGAAGATTTGACCACATCCTCAATGTTTAGTTCTCCTACCTCAGGTTGGCAGACTTGGTTCTGCCTTCTTGAGTTCTAACATTTCTGGACTTATAATAATGTATGGCACTTGCCTCTACCCCACACTGCCCCAGGCCCTGACTCATGGAACTCCATATTCATCAAGAACTGCAAGAAGACATTATCTTGTGCCTTGAATATTCTATAGAGAAGGAACCTGGACACAGGAATCATCTCTCAGTCCTTTAAAACCACTGACAGCCCCACGCCACAAAGGTAGCAGGCAGTAATCACACACACACAAAAAAAAACTATAGACCGATAGCGCTGACATCCCTCATTATCAAAATCTCGGAGGGTCTCAAGTAGCAAGATTACTAATCACATGAAATCTCAACAACTTCACAACCAAAGGGTTAAGAGCAGGTTGCTCCTGCCTCTCGTAATTGCTTGACCGTCATGCCATGGTATGAGACGCAGTGGAAGACGACCAAAATGCAGATGCAGTTTACTCTGATTTTGCAAAAGCCTTTCACAAGCGTGACCATGGTAAAATAGCTCACAAAATGTGTGCAAAAGGAATAACTGGAAAAGTAGGCAGATGGCTATTTAATTTTCTGCCGAACAGAATCCAGTGTAACAGTGAAGAGAGTGAACAGCTGTTCCTCAAGACACAGTACTGGCTCCTATTCTCTTCCTCATTCTCATATCCCACATAGACAGTGACATAACTCATAATACAGTATCGTCCTTTGAAGACGATACTAGAATCTACACGAGTTGCATCCACTGAGGGTACGTTAAAACTTCAAGCTTATATAAACAGTCTTCAATATAATGTTCAATAACAAGTTTCAGTTACTCCGTTATGAAAAGATTGAGGAAATAAAGAATGGAACGGAGTATAAAGCCAACTCGAATCAATCAACAGAGCGCATGACTAACTTGAGAGACTTAACACTATCACAACCGCAAGAAAAACAATAGGCTGGAAAACTAGAATCTTCAAAACAAGGGATGCCAGGCTAGTGATGATGATAGTCTTCAAATCACTTTTTCTTTCCAAGCTGGAGTACTGCTGTGTTCTTAACTCCGTTCAAGGGAGGCCCAGGATGGAGGCTGCAGGATATGCAGAGAACCTTCCCTGCCAGCACAGAATCAATTAAGCACCTTAATTACCGGGAACGTTTGAACTCCCTTGATCTGTACTTTTTTGGAACGTAGGCGAAATACATTATAGTGTACACACAGAAAATTTCAGAAGGATTGGTCCCAAATATGCACACACAAATGATTTCACATGAAACAAATACCTGTGACCGGTTTTAATAAGGGCTCCCTATCTGGCAGCCCGACCTCGCCCTCCCTCGTACATACAGGTAATTACCAACTAACCTCTGCCTGTCTTCAAGATAGAACTGGACAAGTTCTTCAAATCAGTTCCTAACCAGCCGGACTGTGGTTCGTACGCTGGATTGTGTGCGGATAGCAGTAACAGTCTAGTTGATCAGGCCTTGATACATTAGGCCATCAGGTCTGGAACGGGGCCGCGGGGGTGTACACCCTCTGAAACGTGTTTCAGGCATCATACAGAATACGGAAGCAGCACACTGGTGATGCAAGCTATGTTGTTAGCAAAAATATGAAGGAGAGGTGTAGCGAGTGTGAGGCCAGGGAGAACCTCTTGATTCTGGACGGGGCGGCGGCGGCAGCAGCGCAGTTCAGTGCACTCTGCAGCCTTACTACTGGCCGCCGCCTCTCAACGCTCGCCCCAGGCACCGACGTCGTCTTCCAGCACACAGTAAACCTGCAGTCACTCCTCAACCTTTATTATCAGTGACCAACTCAGTTTATATATGCAGAGACTAGTCTAAACTACCTGGTACAGTACATAAAACAGGTTGTTAGTGCCAGACTTTGAAGGTTAGAGGAGGTATCTGCTGTCTGCCTCATGCTGAAGTTGTCTTGTAAGTGTAGACAGACCAGACTGGAGGTGAAGGTACTGACCATAGCCACTAAATGATCAGTCTACCGTGTAGACAGGCCAGACTGTATGTAGACGAAGCTACTGACCATGGTCCAACGCCCATGATTAGGCTGCTGGCCTAATCAGTTAGACTATTTATGGTAGCAACAAGCAGTCTATTATTAACACCAGTGCACGGCTGATCATGAACTGTCTGCAAGAACCAGTCAGGTTCTTTCTTGAAAACAGTTAGGCATCTGCTGGTAAATTTGCATTATAAAAGATTTTTTTTAAACCTCAGACCATTTACATTT